TTGAGTTCTCTCCAGCGCTGGAAAGCTGATCCGAAATGTACACGTGTCCTACTTCTTGCCTTATCATAAGCCTTCTTTTGTTCCGCAGACGTTTTCCTCTTTTGTTTTTTATCCGCCATCTCTATCTTTCTGTCGTCGCTCGGTTTGGCTAATGTCCGTCCTGTGCACTGAGCGCTCTCTCCTTTGCATCATGAGTAGACACGCCCCTTACTGCTGATTGGCTACAAGTTTGTTTTGTCACTCGGCCCGACTCTAAAGCGTTTTTGAAAAAATACATACCCCACCTTTAATTACTTTGTACAAGCTAGATCACAAGTAGATAAATGCATAACATTTATTAGGATGTTGAAATATTCTGTTTTATGCACAAACAAGATTCCCAACAGCTTTTCAGTCTTAAAAAGTTTTTTTCTTGTCATCCGGACACTAATGGACCATTTTATTCTCATCAATGTGATTGCTATAAATTAAATTGTATGTCTTATTGTAAACATAGGGTTCTCTCACAAACACATGGGACTCTTTGGCTCTTCGGTGTTTCGCAGGCAAATTTCCAGCCCCCTCCAGGCAGCCTGCGTAGATCTGCATCATCTGCAATGTAATATTTCCTACAAGTGACCAAAAGTTAGAGGCATTCACATAAAGGATATTAACTTTAACTTGAAGTTCACACCACAGCTATAATGAAAACAACATAGATACAACTGTTGTTGAAATCATTTTAGAATATAATTTTTTTTCTTGCTGTTGAACAATGAAAACAATCCATCCTGCTTTAAAGAGCTTGAACATTTAAAGAAACAGACGTCAAAACTGCAGTGCTCACTTATGTTAAACGAAACATTATTCTCCGGTGGTTTGGATGCTAATATAGTTATTGTTATGGTTATCATTCTTGTTGTGAATGGGGCTTTTACTCAGTTACATGCTGTTACATTATAGCTATAAATGAAGTTGTGGGTTTATTTTATGTGTGTCTTTTTGTGTTTATGCTTAGTATGGGTCCAAAACAGAGGTTTCAAGACAATGAGCTCCAAGACTAGACATCTGCAGTCTGGTTTTGAAGGTCCAGTAGATGCAGAGAATTATACGCCAGCCTTTATGAAGGTTAGTAAGCTTGAATGACACTGAGGAAATAATAGTTAAGGCAGGTCTGGTCTCAGAAATACAACAGAATTATCTGAATGTTCTAAACCTGTTTTCTTGTATTTTTCCTTTGCCCTTTATTTGTATTTTCTGTATCCTTTTCTCTGTCCTCTTGAGGGCCTCCTTATGAAGGAAAAGCGAGACATGGGGAATCTTGAACAGTCACTGAAACAGAATAACTTGCCAGAATCTCACCAGGATGCTTTCAAGACAGGCTTCACAGAGGGCTTCATGAAAGCTCAGGCTTTGACACAGAGAACTCAAGGTAATGCTTTTAGGCCTTTTTAAAGCATCTTATCTAACATTAGTTATATAGTAAAAAACGTGTTTGCTGCAGGAATTTCGTTCTTACTACTGCTGTTGCTAACAGATTCTGTAAAGAGGACACGTCTGATTATTTTTGTCCTCCTACTGGTGGGTCTGTATGGTGTGTCCAGAAGCCCTCTCTTCTCGGGTAAAGGGTCGTTTTCCGACACTGGTTTGTTTCCCATTTTATTCTTTCCTTATATTTGCTTGTCTAAAATATATTGACTGATAGCATGCTTTTGACTGTAGCTGTTTTTCTTCTGCAGGTTTTATAATAATGTAACAACATAATGTATGAAAGGATTTGTTGCTGTAGTGTGAAATTATTATTATTTTTTTTTTTTTTTTTTACTCTTTGAGTTCTGAGCAGATGATTATTTTTTACATTTGTATTTATTTATTTTATTATTATTTTTTTTAGAATACTTCTCACAAACTGTGGCTACTATCTGTGTGTTTGACTCTGACCAGCACTGGAGTGTCAGGGGGAGTGGCCAGTGCTTGTGTAGCCAATCAGAAACTGTCTCTGACTGTCCGTCATCCTGTAGATACAGATTTGGTTGTATTTTAATTTATTCAGAACTGTTTTTCAGAGTTTACTGATGTGAGTTTTGAAGAAAAGCTGAAGCTAAGGATTTGTTGCTGTAGTGTGAAATTATTATTATTATTATTTTTTTTTTGACTCTTTGAGTTCTGAGCAGATGATTAGAAGCCTTCATTTGATCTATTTACCTACGTAGTTCGTTTCCGCACCACCTCTGGTCTGGATTCAGCCGTGGACCCCATTCAGATGAAGAATGTCACCTTTGAACATGTGAAAGGTGTAGAGGAGGCCAAAAACGAACTTCAGGATGTTGTTGAATTTTTGCGAAACCCCCAGAAATTCACTGTGCTCGGTGGTAAACTTCCCAAAGGTGAAACTCTTTACTTCATTTAATTATGGAAATAGGTGTTTTGTTTTTCGTTTGTATAAAATATCTAAACTAGATGTGCATTTTAGGTATCTTGCTTGTGGGGCCTCCAGGAACGGGAAAAACCCTGTTGGCCAGAGCTGTAGCAGGTGAAGCAGACGTGCCCTTTTACTACGCCTCCGGGTCAGAGTTTGACGAAATGTTTGTGGGAGTCGGCGCCAGTCGCATCAGAAACCTTTTCAGTAAGTCTTTTATAGAAAAACATAGTCTTGGATTGCCCATAATGCTTCTGCTGTTAATAAAATTGCTTCATTACTGTTTTTTCTAACAGAGGAAGCCAAAGCTAGTGCACCATGTGTAATATTTATTGACGAACTGGACAGTGTAGGAGGGAAGAGAATTGAGTCTCCCATGCACCCATACTCACGACAAACCATTAACCAGCTGCTCGCTGAGATGGATGGGTAAGTCAGTCGCTTTTATTACATATAATTTCCTCTTTTTGAAAGAAATTGCACAGGTCTGAATGATTTTAGTATTTTGATGATTTCAGGTTTAAACCCAATGAAGGAGTCATTGTGATTGGAGCTACGAACTTTGCTGAAGCTTTGGACAAGTAGGTTTCTATAGCCATCCGTTAAGGGATAGTTCACTCAAAAATGAAAATTCTGTCATCATTTACTCACCTTCATGTCCAAACTCTTAAGACTTCTTTGAAACTCAAATTGAGATATTTATGAAACCTGAGAAATTTCTCTCCCTCAGTTGGAAGTCGGGTAACCAAAACTTAGAAGATCCAAAAGTGTTATAAATGCATAGTAAAATGAATCCATAGAAATCAACCAGTTTAATCCAAGTCTTGTGAAGAGATACTATCACTTTATATGGTGAACATTTTATTTACATGACAGAATTTTTATTTTTGGTTAACTATCCCTGTAATTCCATGTTTTTACATGCAGGCATATTTATAGTTCAATGCAAACAGTAGGCTTAGGCTTATAGACTCACAAGTGGGTTCCTCCATAATTTGCCTAGAGCAGCTCACATATGCAGAAATACTTAAGGCATTAAAACAACAACCACAAATCCCATTGTTATTCATCTTTAACTAAGAAGCAGGTAGCAGGTAGTATCTACTGCTTTTGAACTGTTTCCATCTAGACATGTATTTTTCTGATAGGACACTATGTATCTGTAACTGTCTAGTTAACACTTTACTGTCAGGATTATAAAATATTTGTGATAAACTAAATCTATAAACTTCTTATGATAATGTGTATTTCAGTGCTCTGGTGAGACCAGGCCGGTTTGACATGCAGGTCACGGTCCCAAGACCAGATGTGAAGGGACGCACAGAAATCCTGGAGTGGTATTTGAAAAAAATTCAAGTGGATTCTGGTAAGAATTATTAAGAAAAAACAAATATGTTTTACAAGATTCTTGTTAGGACAGTCCAATAACATAGTGTGTTTTGTAGCTGTCAATGCAAAGATCATTGCTAGGGGAACAGTGGGCTTCTCTGGAGCCGAACTGGAGAACCTGGTGAACCAGGCAGCGCTGAAAGCAGCAGCCGATGGGAAAGACCTGGTGACCATGAAGGAGCTGGAGTTTGCGAAGGATAAGATCCTGATGGGTGAGGCCAGTAGGGACGTACAGCTTAGTCTCTGCAGTGATGGGGATTAATGCTTTAATCAAGAGATTCTTTCCTGACATTCTCTTCTCTGTCTGTCCAGGCCCAGAGCGCCGGAGTGTGGAGATTGACAAGAGAAATAAGATGATCACAGCCTATCATGAGTCTGGACACGCTATAGTGGCTTATTACACCAAAGACGCAATGCCCATCAACAAAGCTACCATCATGCCACGTGGCCCTTCACTTGGTCACGTGAGTAGCTGGTCTTAATGTTCCATTACGTTCCATTAAGCACTTTTCCCAGATTGACTAATAAGAATTTCTAAATCTGGATGCGTGAAATATTGTTACGGTGTAGTTCATTAGCCGATACTAGAGGTTTTTTGTTCAATTTATTAGTATAGGGTAATGTTGGATATTTAGTTGGCATGCTCATTTCTTATTTCAGTTTTTACATTTAGATTACATTTGCCATCATATAACGATCACTTAAAGTAAATCATTAAATAATTTATTAAATTTAATCTTTTTTAAATCTCTAATAATTATCCATTTTTCATACAATACAATATCATGTTGTGATGCTTTATATTATTATTTATATTACTTATATTAGAAGTTATTTTATTAGATTATTGAAAGTTACAAGAATATAAAAATTATTTTCTAGTTTTTAGGAGTTTTATTTGAAATGTATTTAAACAAAATACTATAGAATTTTGATATCAGTAATATTAATACATTATTATAATATTAATGATTTTTTTTATATTAATGCATTTCTAGCCACAAGTCTTGATTCAAACACACAGTACAATATTTCATTTGAAGAAAAAAACTATTTTTGCTGCTGAATTATGGGTAGTGTAGTACCTAACTGAGAATTTGGCAAGTTGAAATCACCCTGACTTATGGGCTTCTAAAAAGGAAAATATTATTCTTTAACAGTTTTGTTTCGATAGATTTCGAATGACATTTTCACATATAAAAAAACAGACATCTGCCTTGAGATCTGAACAGGAAGTTTATTTCACAATAAAAACTCTTCAGACAAATAAAAAACATTTGACAGTAGTTTGCAGAAAGTGCCTGCCCTGCATGAAATTAAAGCTTTTGCTCTCTAGGGTTATACATCATAAACCTATTGTGCCGCCTCCTCTGTTCCTCTGATCTCTCTCAGGTTTCCTTGCTGCCAGAGAATGATCGCTGGAGTGAGACACGGGCCCAGCTTCTGGCCCAGATGGACGTCAGCATGGGCGGCAGGGTTGCTGAGGAGCTGGTGTTTGGAAATGATCACATCACTACCGGTGAGAGGTGTCCCTAACTGATCACTGCTACTTTGAATTCTTGGAAATATCAACATCATGATGTTTTATTTGTTCCTCCTACAGGTGCATCCAGTGATTTTGATGGAGCCACTAAAATAGCACAGATGATGGTGACACGGTTTGGAATGAGTGACAAGGTAAAAATTAATTAAAGGTGACCTTAAAAACACTCACTAATTAAATAATTAATTTGTTAACCTGCATGCCATTAATCGGACATCAAAGAACCATGAAAACACAAATGTGTTGGTAAATTACAGAAATATTAACTTAAAATCTCAGGTGGTACTTCAGGTTAATATTGTTGGTCAAAGAGATTCGACTTAGATCATATTTTAAGTGAAAATATTTAATATATTCAAAAAGAAATCAAGCAAATAGCTGTTTGGAGAAGCCATATGAGTCCTTCCACGTGTTCAAAGCCATTAGGGATGTGTAAGCGCTCACATTCCAAACTTAAATCTGTGTGTTCATCCTAATCCCTTCCCCGGCACTCAGTTCATACTCCACGTCCAAAAATGAGCAGTGCACATGCAGGGTCTAAACTACACTCACATCCACCCGTCTCTAACATCACGATCCTGTCGTAATCAGAAACTTGTGTGAAGCCTTTGTGCATTACTATTGTGCCTGTAACTGCAGTTCACTCACCTCTCTGTGCTTTGAGCAGCTGGGGGTCATGACCTACAGTGACCTGACGAACCACAGCCCGGAGACCCAGGCTGCTGTAGAACAGGAAGTCAGGGTGCTGTTGCAGGTAGGTGTTTAGTTTTTGTTTGTAAGTGATTGACTGATGATTGTGTAAATTCATCTTCTAATTGTCTTTTTCAGACCTCGTATGAAAGGGCAAAGAAGCTACTTAAGACCTACAGCGAAGAACACAAGCTGCTGGCCGATGCCCTGCTAACTTACGAGACTCTAGATGCAAAGGAAATCCAGATGATCCTGGAGGGAAAGTCACTAAATCCCAGATGATGAAGTCTTGGATCAACAGTGACATTTCGAGGCACAATCTTACTTTACTTGTAAATGTAAATGTTTGTAACAAGAAAGGCTTTTGAATGACTTTCTAGCCTTCTCTCTTAATATTTTTCATTTTCAGGCAACACGTTGGCTTTCAAACACTAAGCTAACAGAAATTCAGATATATTTTCTATTCATTTGAGAAGGTAAATTGATGCCAAAAGTACATATGCCTGAGCACTGAACCAGTAGGTAATGGCTACAAATGAAATAATGTAAATTCTTTGCTTTGTTTTAAGAAGCTATAACAGGAAGAGGATGATGTTCATTATATGTTTTATTCATCCTATTATTTGTTACCCAGTCACCAGATTGAAGCACTTGTTCATAAGTCATTTTATGGAATGGATAAAAACAGGAAGCTCATAAATGGTGCATTTTACTTGAAAGCAAATGGCAAACCAGGCTGTCCCATTATCAGTAAGCATAGTAGTATAGATTGTTCACTTTTTCCATGCAGCCCTAAACCACAAACCAATTACGAATGTGACTTCAGAATGTCAGTTTTATTTTAACATCTACAGATACAGAATAAATATATCTGTAAATGCGTATCTGAACAATTGACTAAGAGTACTGTAGATTTTTGCCTAATATTTCCAATGGACCTTACTATCCCCTGATTTTATTCATTATACTCTTCCAGGGGTAGCTAAAAGCCTCATGCCCCATCCTCCGCCACATTTTGGTTGTCTGCATGTGTGTGTATGGCTCAGGTGACTGCACTGTTTATATGTGTTTGAAAAATTATTAGTGTGCTTTCTTTTGAAGTTAATTACATGTTTATTTCTATTTATCTCAGAAATTAATATGGCAAGACTATAAATAAAGTAAAAAAAAAAAAAGCCTATTTCCTTGTCGTTTCCTGAAAGTAAGAATGTTAAGCTGGGATTTTGTTTGAGATTGAAATGAACACTGAAATGAATTTGGTTTAATTTCATGGATCTTTTTCAGAGGCCCAGAATAAAAGACTAGTAGTATACCATTCAGTCTGAAAATTGCAGGTATCAGGTTAGGTGTGCTGAGATAGTCATTGGTTATCTTATTTCAAATTGGTGGTCTACACGCATTCAGGTCATTTTTTCTCATAATTTGTTACATGTTTCTAAATGGAAGCCAATTAAAGCCAATCATGAATTAGAGAATCACCCCAATAGCTTTAAGACAATAGCTTTGTTGTGTCCAGTGAGGGAAACTGCAATCAGTGTTTGCATCTTTACCCAAGTCTGTAATTACAGAGTTTTGTTTCAAACCACCAAAATTACTGGTTACAAGAGGAAGGATTGCACATTTAAAGACCCTTTGTTAAAAGAAATGTGCTTTCCCATTGGTTTTCAGTCGTGAAAGGCTTTATAAAAATGCCTAGATGTTACTGGGAGCTGATGAATACTGGTCACAACCATGAGGAGACCATCAGAGCTGAGAGATGCTTGTGCTTTGTTTTTTTAATTTTTGCAAAGAAACACAATGATCTTTGAAAAAAAATAATCGCTAAAATGGACAAGGATATTGCTATCATTGGAATCGGATGCAACTTCCCAGGAGGTAAATGTACTGTATTTATGTGTTATGTACTCTTACTTATTTTGTGACTATGCTGTGTGCATTTGCATGACTATCTACTACCTTCACAGGTGAGGGTGTTGATAGTTTCTGGAAAGTTCTTGTAGAGGGAAGGAACTGTGTGGAACAGATTCCAGATGAAAGATTTGACACATCAGAGTGGTTTCATCCTGATGAGAGCAAACCAGGAAAAACACAGACGACCAAAGCTGCTCTCATTGAAGGGTAGGAATAATCAGTTCATGATGATGCATTTGAGGTTTATAATTACTAAAAAGGTGAAATGATGAAGTAAAAGAGTTTCTTTTTTGCAGGTTCAATGAGTTTGATCACAAGTTCTTTGGCATCAGCGAGGCTGAAGCTGATTACATGGACCCTCAGCAGAAACTGTTGCTGCAGTGTGCATACCGAGCTCTAGAGGATGCAGGGATACCCTTGGAAAAAATGAGCGGGACCAGAACAGGGGTTTACATAGGTACATACATTAGATAAATCTATGCAAGTTCACTTTTTTGTTTGTTTTTAACTTTAGGATACTTATACAGTGTTGGGTTTTATTTCAGGTCTTATGAACAGGGACTATGAGACAATTTTGAACAACTGTCCCAGCACAATAACCCACTATAATGGCACCGGAACAGCTATGAGTGTAGCTGCCAACAGAATTTCCTTTGTCTTCAACCTGACTGGACCTTCATTTGCCATTGACAGTGCATGCTCTTCATCCCTTGTCGCCCTTCATTCTGCATGTCAGGCCATCAGACAAGGTAATGAAACTATTTTAACTCTGAAGTCTGTTCATTGCTTGATATTCACATTGTTAATTATCCTTGTTTTACCTCATCCTTAGGGGACTGTGAAATGGCTCTGTGTGGAGGGGTCAGCTGCATCCTTGAACCTCGAGTCTTTGTGGCCCTCAGCAAGGCAAAGATGATCTCACCTGAGGGCACAAGCAAGCCATTCTGTCATACAGCAGATGGCTATGGTAGAGGGGAGGGATGTGGTATAGTCCTCCTGAAGCCTTTGAAAAAGGTATATATTTTACTTTTTTAAATTATTCATAATGTTAATATTAAATAAATTTTATGGTTTATAATAAGGCAAATGTCTCTTTTCAGGCTCTTGAGGACTTTGATCATATTTGGGGAATTGTGAACAAGACTGCAGTAAACCAAGATGGCCACACTGTCACACCGATCACTAAACCCTCCATGACCCAGCAGGAGGCTCTACTGCGCATGATCTACTCCTCTGAGAATTATCTAGCAAATGTCCAGTACGTAGAAGCTCATGGGACTGGAACACCAGCAGGAGATCCGGCTGAAGCAGGAAGTATCTCAAAAATCATTGCCAAAGCAAGACCTTCAAGCTCAGGGCCTCTGTTTATTGGTTCTGTTAAGAGTAACATCGGACATACAGAATCTGCAGCAGGGGTGGCAGGACTCATAAAGATTCTGTTAATGATGAAACATGAAACTATTGTCCCCTCTGTGTTCTACTCAGCAGAAAATTCAAGCATAGATGCTAAATCTCTCAATCTTAAAATCCCCACCAGAGCTGAAAAATGGCTTTACTCTGGATCAAGGATAAGGATGGCTGGATTAAACAGCTTTGGGTTTGGTGGCACCAATGCCCATGCCATCATCAGTGAGTATGTTCAAGCAACAGTCTCTGACAGCCACACTCTTGAACCTCTGAAACTGCTTCCACTGTCTGCAGCCACGGATCAATCTCTTCAGTTGTGCATAGCTGACACGTATCAGAGGATTTCAGCAGATGAGACAGTTGATCTACAAGCTCTTGCTTATACAGCCGCCTGCAGAAGAAGCCACATAACACACAAATTTCGGAAAGTCTTCGCTGCATCATCTGTGTCAGAATTAAAATCACTACTCAAAGCTAGCATGAACAAGAAATTGGCTCCAACAAAGCAGGACCTAAAGTTAGTTTTTGTATTTTGTGGGAATGGCGTTACTTACAGGGGAATGTGTAAGCAGCTACTGAGAGAAGAACCTGCATTTAGGGACAAGGTCAAAGAGGTTGAAAACTACTTCCAGAAGTTTCGATGCACCAGTATTTTGCAAAAGATCGCAAATTGCTATGACAATGAAGATATCACTAAACCAAACGTTGTCCAGCCACTTCTCTTTGCAATCCAGGTCGCAATTGTTCACCTTTTTAAGAACTGGGGCATAAGACCGGATATTGTTCTTGGACACTCTGTGGGAGAGGTTGCAGCAGCTCATTGCTCTGGCCTGCTTTCTCTTGAGGATGCAGTAAAGGTTGTCTACCATCGCAGTGTGCTGCAGACCAAAGTGATGGGTGGGAGGATGCTGGTCGTTGGTAATGTTCCTGTTCCAGATGTTCTGGAAATTCTCCCTACATACACAGGAAAGATTTGCCTAGCTGCTGTGAACAGTCCTATGTCATGTGTGCTGTCAGGTGATAAAGAAGCAGTTGATAATGTGCACCAGAAGCTTCAGTCTATGTTCAAGGGTAAAAACCTGTTCCTTCATGTCTTGGATGTTCCAGCTGCCTACCATAGTCATATGATGGATCCTATACTGGGCCAAATCAAAGACAGCATTGGACATTTAAATCTGAATGAAAAGGAGTGTGAACTTTTTTCTACAGTAACAGGAGAGATGTGTCGTCAAGGGGACTTTGTCACAGGTGAATACTGGGCAAGAAACATTCGAAAGCCTGTTGCATTTGAACAAGCAATTAAATCAGTTTCCAACCACACAAGGAACACAGTCTTTGTGGAAATTGGTCCAAGACGGGCTCTGCAGAGGAACATCATGGAGATCCTGGGAAATGACACCACAGTGCTTCCTTCAGTACATCCAGATAAAGACCACGAGACAATGTTCACAGCTGTATCAAAACTGTTTAAACTGGGGGTCAATGTGAAGTGGGACGAGTTCTACAAAGGGTTTGAAATGGAGCTTGTTGCTTTCCCAAGGTATCAGTTTGAATGTCAAAAGAATGAGGTATACTTTGAGGACGTAAGACGGGGAAATGACACAGTCTCTCGCAGTCCACATCCACTGATAAGTCCAAGTAAACGTGATGGCAAAGTAATCAAGTGCAACCTGTCAGCAGCTACAACCTCCTACCTTTGGGAACACAAGAACAATGGCATCTCCATTGCCCCAGGGGCATTGTATGTTGAGTTGGCTATTGCATCCATAATGGAAACTGCTATTCCAAAAAGACCTCTGCACTCATTTCAGCTCACAATCAACTTTCAGAGTTTGCTTGTTCTAACTAAGAACTGCCCTCCTCTCAAAATCACAATCGAGACATCCAAGGATGCAACCACATTTCAGGTTCAGTCCTCTATTACTGTGCATGCATCAGGCACCATCAGCCATGAAGGCGGTCCAGCTATGATCGAACAGCAAACCATTCACCTCAACACTGTTTTAAAGAGATGTCCATCAGTCATTGAAACAAAGGATGTGTACAACACTCTTAAAGGCATAGGATTTGAGTACGGGCCCAACTTCAAACAACTTGGTGACATTCATTACGGACAAGAATTCAAGGAAGCAGTGACCAGTCTCAGGATTCCAGAGGAAGTACTCAACCATCTGTATGAGTATTGCTTGCATCCTGTGGTCCTAGATTACTTCTTGCAAATGTCCTCAGTTTTAGCATTAGTCTCTAGCACCGTCAGGCCTGGATTTCCCTCTGCCATTGGGAGTATGGTTATAGCTGCACCTCCCTGTAAAGAGATGTTCATGTATATGAGATTGACCAAAGAAATGCCTGACTACTTTGAGGTTTGTGGTTGCTTCACTGACAAAGATGGTCATGTGTTGATTGAGCTGAGGGATGTCAGAATTAATTTTCTGGGAAGACATGCACAGATCAGGGAATCATGTTTCTTTCATAACCAGAAGGTTGGCATTCTTGCTGACAGCAATTTCCCCAGTAGAATCAAGGCTTTGGTCTTTGAAGACACCTTGGGTATCGCAAAAGGTTTAAAGCCATATTTGCATCCAAAATCTGTACTTGTTCCTCCACCCGATTTAACAAAAGGCTTAGCCTTGCAAGTCCCAGAATTACTGTTGAAGTCTCCTTGCAGTGAAGCAGGCATGGAACTGGATACGATCCTGTTTATCTGGGGCATTCAGAATATTAGTCACCTCCAGTCTGAACTCATTCTAGAGTCCTTGGTAGACAGCTGTGATCTTTACCGTCAGGTTGTTTTGTCTTTAAAAAACCGCAGTCATGCATGTTCCATCCGTGTCATTACATACAGGTCAGCGGAAGGGACAGTTGAAAGTATA